AGAGAAAATGAGGGCAGAGAAGTTATGGGACCCAGGTTATGAAGGTCCTTGAAAGCACTGTAAGTACTTTAACTTTTACGCTGAGTGAATGAGGAGTCACTGGTGCATTTAGGCCTGAGTAGTGACATGGTCTGATTCTCAATTAAGTCTGGCTGCTGAATTGAGAATGGATTATAGATGGCAAAGGTAGAAGAAGTGAGACCAGTTATGAGACTATTTATTGCATAATTTAGGCATGAGGCAGTGGAGTCTTGGATTAGTATGATAGCAATGAAAGTAGGAGAAATAGATTCTGAGTGTGTTTTGAAGGCGAGGCCAACATAATTTTCTGATGGATTGAATATGGGGTTTGAGAGAAAGAGACAAGTCACAGATTAATTGTGATTTATGGCCCAAGCATTTGGCAAAGTAGAGTTTCCAGTAACTGGAATGGGAAAGACTGAGGGTGGAGCAGACTTTGGGAGGAAAATAAGGGGGTCAGTATTAGATGTTATGCCAATCAGATATCCAAGTGGAGATGTTGAGTAGCAATTAGAGTAACAGCACTGGAGTTCTGGGGAGAGGACTAGCTGGAGATTTAAATTCAGGGATCCATTCAGCTTAGAGAAAGGAACTTGAAGAGTTGACTGGATGAAATCACCAAGTGAATGAGGGTAGAGAAGGGCAGTGGTCCATGGATTGAGCCAGGGGCACTCTTAATAAAAGGTTTGGCAGATGAGGAGGAACAAGCAAAGGAGCCTGAGGAGGAACCAGCAAAGGAGCCTGAGAAGGAATGCCTTGTCAGATAGGAGGAAAACCTGATACAGGTGGGTGTCCTAGAAGTCAAGTGCAGACTGTTTCAAGGAGAAGGGATTGAACATGTGTCAAATGCTACTAATAAGTAAGATGAGGACCAGGAGTTGGTCCTTGAATTTAGCAATGGAGGAGTCATTGAAGAGAGCAGTCACCTTTTTATTTTTCTTACGGCAGGCTATAAGCCTCTCAGCAGTAAGGACTGAGTCTCAATTATTCCTGTTTTCCTGAATACCCAGCACAGCCCTGGCTTCTGGTCAACATTGCATTTAGTTAATTGACTGAAGGAATCAGTGCGGGGCTTCTCTGCTCACTGCCAGTGGCCTGGCTTTGCCTACAGCTCCAGTTCTTGTCTCCCAGAATTGCACCAAAGAAGGAAGGAGTGTGGTGGGGCTGAAGCTTTGTTGGCAGCTGCGTGTGCCACATCAAACTAGTTAGCCTTGGAAAATGATGGGTCAGGTCCCTTACTTTCAATTCTTTTATATAATTTCTTGCCAGGAGATATTATGTACTATACATTTTTTGCCAACTAAGTATAAAAGCAAGCTGCTTTACACCATGGAGAAGATGAAGAAGAAAAATGTTTGGCAAGAGCACTTGAGGCTTCCTTCTGTCGTTTGGAGAGTGAGAATAAAACAAAGAACTGAGTTTTTGGCTTCAACACTAAATGCCTGGATATTCAGCAATATCTAGATTTATAGAATTTTAAAATTTCCATCCAGATGTTTGGCATCATAGAAACACGTTTGATCACCTCTGAATTGCTCTTCAGTGTTCTACATTAAGTAGACGTTCAGAAGAGAATTGAGTGTTCAAGTGTAATTCCTCATTGGAAACGTTAAAGCATTAAAAAAAAACCCCAAAAAACGAACTCATTGCCATGGAGTTGATTCCAACTCATAGTGACCCTATAGGCCAGAGTAGAACTGCCCCATAGAGTTTCCAAGGAGCAGCTGGTAGAGTCCAACTGCTGACCTTTTGGTTAGCAGACAAGGTCTTAACCACTGTACCACCAGGGCTCCATTAAAGCATATAGAGGAAGACAATTTGGCGTCTTTTTTTTTTTTTTTTTTCACGTATCTGTAGATACTATATTAAATTTTGGTGGTGTAGCCCCACTATATCTTATTACTGTTTCAAATTTGCTTGCCCTCCACCACCATCATAACTTCCTTCTTGTTTTAGTGCTGAAACAAACATTTTTGAATCATTTAACTACAAATCTAACCTAGCATTTTCAAATGTTCTAGATTCTTCTTTCATTCTTCTGATGTTCTAAAGTCTACTTACCTTGGTAGAATATTGACGCTTAAAAAATGTAGTTGTGTTAACAATATTGAAAGCTTTCTTTTTTCATCTTGTTTTTGAAATGAGGTGGATATTTGCTGAAAGAATGAAAATCTTTTATGGGTTATATAGAGAAAGAATAATCTGGAACATCAATAGGCTGGATTTCTTCTCACCAAATATTGTGTAGGTTGGAGAATAAGTGTCCTTAAAGCATAATGAGTTCTTCATTCAACATATATTTTGAGCACGTCTTAGGTGTCAGACAGTTAGCCAGGTACTAGGAATACTGCAGTGAACAAGATCAACTTGTGTTTTTTGATTGTATGGAGGTTAAGGTCTAGAGAGCTCAGAAGAATTCACAGTATGGCTGGTGGTGGGGAATTGTGGCTAATGAATCATCTCCAGAGGTAATCAAGGCCCCCCCAGCCCTTCATATCCTGGGATTTGTCTGCTTAACAGTTTGGACTTTATCCTAAAATTAGAAACAGGATAGCTAGCATGGGAATGACCTGATCTGATTGGCTTTAAAAAAAAGACCACCAAATTAGTTAGTAATAGAGTTCAACACAGGAGGCCCTGGGTGGTGCAAATAGTTAAGCTTTTGGACTACTATCCAAAAGGTTGGAGCTTCAAACTCACCCAGAGGCATCTTGGAAGACAGGCCAGGCAGTCTGCTTCTAAAAGGTCACAGCCTTGAAAACCCTGTGGAGCAATTCTACTCTGCACATGTGGGGTTGCCATTAGTTGGAATTGACTCACTGCCAACTAACAACAACCCAGGTAATAGAAACCCAGCTACCACTGCTTAAAACAATAAGGCTTACTATTTTCATGTAACAAGAAGTCAGGCATGTTACCAAGGACCCAGACTCCATCTATTTTTCTGCTCTGCCATCCGTGGCATGTGACTTTCTTCCTTAGAGTCATCAGATTACACCTGCAACTCCAGGCATCACGGTTTGTTCCATGCCAGAAGAGGATGGTGCTGTAAAATGCTTCTTCTTGCAAAGCTTTTTCCTTTTTTGAAATAGTTTTATTGATGCATTATTAACATACAATGAGCTGCACATATTTGAAGTATAAAATTTGATAAGTCTTGGTATATATATAAACCTGTGAACCTATCACCACGTTCAAGATATTGAATGAACATATCCATCGCCTCAAAAGTTTGTTCCTTCCTTTCTCTCACCCTTAACCCCCCACCCCCAATCAGCAGACAACCACTGACCTGCTCAGCAGTAAAACTTAAAAAAAAAAAAAAAAAAAACCCCATTGCTGTCAAGTTGATTCTGACTCATAATGACCCTATAGCACAGAGTAGAACTGCCCCATAGAGTTTCCAAGGGGTGCCTGGTGGATTTCAGCTGCTGACCTTTTGGTTAGCAGCCGTAGTTCTTAACCACTATACCACCAGGGTTTCCCAGTAAAACTTAGGCTGGAGTTAAATCTAGTTTAGGGAGGGTGTTTGCAGAAAGAAGATGCCCTTAGGACATTTCTCCAGGCTCACTGATTCCCTTCTTGTATTGGCCTTAGAGTAAGAAGTTCAACTGAAAGGGAGTGTTCATGGTTTTTAAAGCCTATGATAAGGTGAAAGATTTAAGGTTCTTCTAGGTAGGGAAGGTGGTCACAGTGGCGAAGGTGGATAGGGTCAGTGCAAGTTTGCAGGTATTAAAAGATATATAAAAAACCACATGCAAGATGGAGCTTTTATTAGTCAGAATTCTTTATGGGTTATAGATGAGCTTAAAAGAATGTGTCGGCTATAAACCTGGGACATCCAATAGTTGGATAATCAGAGATGGCTGGATAAAGAGGCTCAGAAAAGGCCAGAGCTCTCTCCCTCCTTCTGTCCACTTCTCAACTTGCTTGCCTCTGCTTAGATTCTTTTTGAGGCTAGATATCTCCACGTGCAAGGTGGGCACAGGCAGAACCAACTTAGATTGTCCTTATAGCTTGCTGTGCCAAAGGAAACCTTTTTCCCCCTCCCAATATCCCTGTATCAGATTTAGAGACATACTGATTGACCCTGTTGGTTTATGAACCAGTCACTGTGGACAGGAGGACGGGCAGCCATCTTTAACAGAGTTGAGTCTTGTGTCTGCTGCTGGTGGTGGTTGGTGGGGGGCAGTGAGGCACTGTGATTAAGGGTCTCACAAGAAACACATGTGCTGGGTTGCAAAAGCAACATGTATCTACTACAAAGGTCATTCGTCCTCAAGGCGGCCATTTGTCTGACCTTCAGTTCTTAATTTTAGAATATTCTGGCATTCCTTCATCATTTGAAAGGTGTAGTGTATGGGTTTAATATTTCAACACTTATGCTCGACTGTAAGGAATATTATACACCACATCTTTTTTCTTTAATATCATTGCATGTATCCATCCAAAGGTGCACAAACATGTTGATTAATTTTTAAGATTTTTGTTTGCCAGAGTAGTCTCTAGAGAATCTGTAGGGTCACAATGAGTCGGAATCCACTCAACGGCAATGGGTTTTGGGTTAGAGTATTCTCAAAGATTAAGACTCCTCATCCCAAGTAGAATTTCTTGCTGCCCAACTCAAGGCAGTGTACTCTGTGCCTGTGTGTGAATGTAGGTGTATGTGACAAAATTTCTGGGTTGAGTTAAAGAAAAATAAAAAGCACAAAATTAATAAGCTAGCATTTGGTGCTTAATGAATGGAAAGGTCATATGAGCAAAGGACTTTTCTTCCTCCCCTTTACATATCACTATGCATCCAGGTTTCATGGGCAAATAAGTTAGAGAGATGTGATTCAAATGCATATTGATCTGACTACGAAGCCAGAACTACTTTTTTTTTTTAATGAATGATAGTATTGTCCTTAGTATTACATCTTAAATTTTAAAAATTATTTAAGTATGTGGCTAGGCACTATGATAAGTCCTTTAGGGAGAAAAAAAAAAAAAAAAGCTCCAAGAGGAAAGCTGAGTTCAGTTACAGCACTAACATTGTATTGTCGGATGTCACCTTGTTGTTCTGATTTTCTCAGCTACAAAATGAAGGGGGTAGACTAAGATCACCAGGCAAGTGCCTTTGTGCCTTGGTGTTTTGTGGGTTTGTGCCATCTCCTGAGCCTTAGCTGAGAATCTCTATGCCCCCACCCCAGCACCCCCCTGTTTCTGCATCTCTCACAGAATCTACTCCTGTGGGAACCAGTAGCTGTGCCGCTGCCTCTGTCTCTTGGGCCTTGCTTGAGGAAGCCATGCCAGTTTTAGATACTTTCATAATCTTGCTTTGGTCGGCCTTTTCCATTACAGCTCTTTTAATCCTAAGGCTTATATGATTCGCTTTTCTTTGTTCTAAAGAGAAAACAGGAAAGGTTGGAGCTTCCTGGCTTATAAAAGCATCGCTATCAATGAGTTAACAGATCCATAATCTGTTTTTTATCAGCACTCTGTCTCCTAAAGGAAGGAAACTATTTGTAATAGGTCTAAATTTACTTTCTATTACAATTAGTTTCATACGGAAACTGTTGTTATAATTGAACAAAGGACTCTTGCAGTTCCTTTGTCTACCAGTGATGTCAGCTTTTTAATTATGCAGTTAGAATTAATTTTACTTGAATCAATAATTTTTAGATTACTAGTTTGGAAAACCTCATCTAATCCCATTCTCTTCAAAATTACAAACCAACTAACTATAGCACACAATTACCACTCCTCAGAAATAAATTGTATTTCATTATCATCTTTAAAAGGTTCTTTTTTGGTAGAAGCTAAACATTGATAATGACATTTAATTGGAGGCATATTACAAATCTTTAGGTGCTATTTCTAATTTAAAAAGTTAATTATGAATATTTTGGGGAATTTTGTTATTATAATGTGTTAGAAACACCAGTCACATAAGGAAAACATTTAGGTACATTGTTTTCAATTTTTATTTAATTAAAAAAAACACAAGTTATATTTTTGGAGGTTTATCATAAAATTGATCCCCTCACATAAGTTTGTATTTGGACAGTTTCACTGTTGGAATAATCAATATAAAATTTGTTTTGGATTGGACAGTTAAATTATCACCTCCTGCTTTCAGCTTTCAGTTGTATACCACTTTGATTTGATAGCGCTTCTTTTTCCCAAATGGGAGCATATTATAGGAGGGAACGTGGCCAGCACTGCAAGGTACACAGATGGGAATTAATATGAAACATTTGAGACACAGATGATGAGGAAGCTATCTTGATTTTAGTAGCTGTTTGGGGAAAAGTAGGAGCTAAGACTGGCCGAGGAAAGTCAGACCAAATTACAGAGGAAAAGTAAAGCAGAAGAATTTAGAATTCGCATCCTAGTAAAAAAGGGGCTGTTAAAATTTTCAAGGCAGATTTTAATTAGGAAATATTTCATATGCACAGAAAATACTGTGGTAGACTCCTGTGAACCCACTAGCCAGATTTAACAAATACCAATGTTTTGTCGTGTCTCTCTCTCTTTTTAAGAAGTTAGATGTTAATGGTACAGCCCCCTTCTCATTTTCCCCTCTCAAAAGTAGTCACTATCTTGAAGTCAGCATCTGTCATTGCCATGCATTTTTATAAATTTATGACAATTTCATGTATTAATCATCTACAAAGAGCATATAGTGTTGTTTTTGTGTTTTAAAAATCTCTGATACAGCAATTATTGGTAGCACTGTAATTTTTCTCTCCTACACTGACGTCTAGGGCAGGGGTCAGCAAAGTATATAGCTCATGGGCCAAATCCATCTCACTGCCTGTTTTTGTATGGTCCAGGAGCTAAGAATGGTTTTATGTTTTTAAATGGTTAAAAAGAAATCAAAGGAAGAATAATATTTTGTGATATATGAAAATGAAGTCTCAGGTTCCATAAATAAAGTATTATTGGAACACAGCCATGCTCATTTGTTTATGTTTTGTCTATTACTGCTTTTGTGCTACAACAGCAGAGTTGACTAGTTTTGGCAGAGACCGTATAGCCTGCAAAGCCAAAAATATTTGCTATCTGGCTCTTTAAGGATAAACTTTGCCGACCCCTGTTTTAGTGGGGATGTCTTTATCTCTTGCTCTTAGGACATTAATACATAAATATTAAGCTTCTCTTAAGAATATATTCATATAGTAAAGATTTAGTATGCTTCCCAAAGTAATTCTTTAAAACTATTTTAAAATTAGAAGAATTTTGTGTATCAGATTATTCACTCTTTTGATCTTTTTGTTTCCAAGACTCAGGGAAAGAAATATAAAGTCCTGCCCTTGAATTTAATTTAATTAGGAAACAAGCATCACACTTAAGACTTGATGTTGGCAGATTACTCTGATATGTTGCAACTGTGGACCATCTTCAGCGTTTGGTACCCAGATGTAGTCAGCATGCTAAGCATAGCCCTCTCACTTCAGGAAGGCGAGGCCTGTCCTAGGCATCACCCAGCCCTTCTTCCTTCACACCTCCTTCAGGCTGCTGCCTTTTTCAGCTTGTGAAAGGAAATGCGTTATATTTGGATACCACAGTCAGAAATAAGCTAACTTGTGAAGGGGCAGAGGACTTTTTCTCAATCCAGCATAGTTTGAGGTTGTTAGAAGATTGTGAGTGAAGATATTAAAAATGAAATAGATGTAAATAGAGCTGCTGATGAGCAATTGAGAAAGTGAGAGACTAGATACATTTCTGGGCAGCAAAATTTGTGAGGATTTTTTCCTTCTGAAAACAAAAGCTTTCTTTGTGTACTTGACTGCAGTGGAGAACAACATGTACAGATAACACCACAGATGCATAGATGGATATATAGCTACCTTCGAGTTGACTCAGATTCATGCCGGCCTAATGTACAACCGAACTTAAGTGTTGCCCAGTCTTGCATCGTTCTCAAGATCGCTAGCATGTTTGAGCCCATCATTGTGGCTGTTGTGCCAGTCTATCTCACCGAGGGTCTCCCTCACCCTCACTGACCCTATTTCACCAAATATAATGTCCTCTCCTACTGATTGATCCCTCATGTTGACATGTCCAAAGCAAGCAAGTTGGACAGTGTTCAGTTGTGATCCATAAAGTTTTCACTGGCTAATTTTCAGAAGTAGATTGCCAGGCCTTTCTTCCTAGTGTCTCTTAGTCTGGGTGCTCCGCTGAAATCTGCCCACCATGGATAACTCTGCTGGTATTTGAAATACCAGTGGCATAACTTCAGTATCACAGCAACACACAAGCCACCACATTACAACAAACTGACAGGTGGGTGGTGGAGATAATGCCATAACTTGGTTCTGTTTTGCTATCAGTGGTTTCTTTTACTCTTAAGTTTTGCTTCTTTATAATAAATGGATAAAAATACTAACAGGTGCTATATTTGCCAATATTTAGCAGTTTTGCTTGTATTTCTGCATATGTAAGAACTTTTAGATACCATCAAATTTAAAATTTGTGTCTAATAAATTATGGCTACACATATCAAAAATTACATATTTGAGTAGAAAAAGATCCATTTTATATTTATAAAAATCCATTTTTATATTCATGAACAAAGTTATTAGGCCTTTAAATGGTGCTAGAAAGCATATTTTATATATTTTGATTCCTCCCGGTTGGTATTATATACTGTCAGATTGCTCCAGAAAATGGTTGGACCTCAACTGAAGATACTGTCTCCTTCCTGTTTCATAACTCCCTTCCCTTAACTCTCCCCCTAAAACCAGTTTCGGAAAAGAAAAAAAAAGTTGGAGTTGATTTTGACTGATACCTGTTTAAGCTACTGTCTTAGTCATCTAGTGCTGCCATAACAGAAGTACCACAAGTGGATGGTTTTAACGAAGAGAAGTTTATTTCCTTACAGTAAAGTAGGCTCAAAGTCCAAATTCAAGGTGTCAGCTCCGGGGGAAGGCTTTCTCTCTCTGCCTTCTCATCAGTGTTCCCCCAGACTAGGAGTTTCTCAGTGCACTCTGCTCCTGGCACTGCTTTCTTGATGGTATGAGGTCCCCCTGTCTCACTGCTCAGTTCTGTCTTTTATATCTCAAGAGATTGCCTCAGGATACAATCCAGTCTTGGAGATCAGGTCCTACCTTACTAACACAACTGCCACCCATCCTCCCTCATTAACATCATAGAGGCAGGTTTACAACATACAGGAAAATCACACAGTACCAGGAATCATGGCCTAGCCAAATTGATACACACATCTTTTGGGGGACATAATTCAAACCATGACAGCTACAACTTCTGTTAGTTAATTATAATCTTTATCATGGCATGCTATTTATTTGTTATTTTAAAGATGTAACTGAATTTTATAGGTAATGGCCTTTTTTGAGGCATGTGTTCTCTCTTTTCACTTGGTTTTGTTTTATATATATAAGAATTCATATATATATATATACACATATATACACACACTCAGAATGCCTTTTCACTTGAAATAGCTAAAATCTCTTGTATTCTTTTTATCTTGCTAAAAGTTTTAATGGATATTTGTATCTGTATCTATATATATTCTAGTCTATATTTCTATTAGAATGATAACAACATCTGAATGTCATTAATGTTAATATAATTTAAATTCATATTTACCTTTAAATGAATAAATAGAATAGATAATGACCTCTAAAGCAGTTCATTTCAGCAACAATTCAGTGAGCAATTTTTGAGTGTTCGCCAGGTGCCAAGTCCCGTGATAGCTTCTGGGAGCATTGAAAAGATGCGGGTCCTTGCTCTCAAGTTTCTCAGCCTCCTAGAGAGCCAAGCTGGAAAACAGAATGTGAGTTTGCTGAGGGGAGAAATAGAACCATATTCAGGGCACAGAAATTGCCCAGAGAAGAGAAAGAGTAATTCAGTCTGTTGGGGAGGAGGCAGGCATTGCCAGAGTAGTTTGCAATCCAGCTGAGCTTTGAAGGAAAGGTAAGTGATTAAATAGTGAAGAGACTAATGTATTGCACTGAGCTGTATTGGCATTTAGAAGCTTCACGTATGGTGTTACTTCAAAAGCTTAAGTAGCATGATCTCTGAGGCTCCATATTTTATAGATTATTGTTAGTTAAAAAAAAAAGTGTGACTGAGGGTTGATATAATTTCTTAAAATAATACTGTGCACTGCGATCTTGTATCTATTCTAGTATTTAGTATTAGCTGTCATTTGTAAGATACTAAATAGGTACTTGAAAAATGTTCTTGAAATTATATAAATTGATGCTGCTTCCCCTCATTTCCCTCCCCCTGCTTTTGATTGTTCTTGCAGTTGGTTAGTCTGCTGCTAATTGGAATTGCTGCATGGGGAATTGGCTTCGGGCTGATTTCCAGTCTCCGGGTGGTCGGTGTAGTCATTGCAGTGGGCATCTTCTTGTTCCTGATTGCCTTAGTGGGGCTGATTGGAGCTGTAAAACACCATCAGGTGTTGCTTTTTTTTGTATCCTTTTTATTATGTGATATTTACTCCATTAGGTTTGAGTCCTTATTTGCTATTGATTAGTATTTGATTGCTACAATTAATTTAAATTTATGATTAGGAAATTAAATGCCAGACAGCAACCTCTAGCAAGGGGTGTGTGTATTTGTTCAACATAGAAACATCTCTTAGGGTACAGTTATTGTATGTATACATATTCCTCCTTTTTCTTGTCACATCATGGAGAATATCTTCTTCAAGTTCAGTATAGTCCAGTTTATATATTGCAAATTCAGAATCACATTGAATTACTTCAGTGGGTTGCTTCTAGGACCTTTCCAGCATATTAATATTTGATTGGGAATTTCACAGTGTTTTTTTTTTATATTTAATCTCAAGAAAGCTTACGTACGCTTATCTGTACTTATTTCCTATTTTATAAATGTAAGAATTTATATTTAATTCTAAATACAATTCTGATAGATCTGCTTTTAGTTAAGTAATAATCATCAGTATTTTTCTATATGAAATTGTATCTACAGTGCATTATCAAAATAATAATTATGTATATGCCTTTCAAAAGTTATCAGTACCTCTTTTTTAATGTTATTTGAAAAGTGCTTAGACTATCCTTAACTTTTAACTCTCAGTACATGATTATTCTCTTACTTGTATTTATTGTTCAGTTCTCTGTATCCTGTGCTTGTTTAGCCCTGAACCAGGAACAACAGGTAAGCAAAGACTGTTTCCTTCTACTTTATTACACCACATAATATGAGTGTAGGAAAAGGAGGAGAAATGATTGGAATATAAAGCAATTTCCTCTTGCTCAGAATACCGTTTTTACTCTAAACATCATATTCTTTTTTCATTCTGCTAAAAGACATCCTCCACCTAGTCTTCTCCCACCATTATACAATGAAATGTTTGCTCCAGAATGTTAGTGGTCCCATTTTAACAATTAACTCTTTTCAAAGTCTAGTTTGTAGAGGAATATGGGCCTCTGTCTTGGGGCAGTGGAATTTTGTCTTGTCATGCTCTGAGAATTATGCCTTTGAACCAAGTACCTCTTTTAAATTGCATTTAAAAATTAAGACTGTTTCATTCTTGAAATAGAAATAGTGCCTTAATTTTTTTTTTGCAGATTGAGGGATAAGCCTTTGAAAAGAATGGCCTTATAAAGAATATTTATTTTAGGTAAACTCACTACTAAAGGTTACAAGCTCTAGCTTTATACATTTCACGTAGGGATTACACATTTTAATGTAAATATTAAATGCATTATCTAGGGTCAGCTTCTGGAAGTTGGTTGGAATAATACAGCAAGTGCTCGAAATGACATCCAGAGAAATTTAAACTGCTGTGGGTTCCGAAGTTTTAACCCAAATGACACCTGTATGGCTGTAAGTACAAAGAATAAAATATTTATTGGAGATGCATTGCGTGTAATGTTTCACCTGGAAGAAATGGAGTTTCTTATGCTGAATTGTATTTAAAAAATGCTTTCTATATAGTTACGTTATATATCCATGCACACAATTGTATCATTTGCCTGTCCGCAGATATCCACTCCCAAGAGTATTGAATATTTCAGAATCCTAATGTACACAGATGCTTCTAGTCATTGCCTCTAATTTCTTCCCATTCTACTCCTCCTAGATAGTGGGGTCACTAGGGAGATGCAGAGGGTGCCAACTGCATCAGCTGACACCAAAATGACTCTCTATACTGTAGTGAGAGCCTGCACCACACAGTTGGTGGCCAACTACCTGGACACCTGAGCTGAATCCATACAGGAGGAGTGGGCAGACTCGTGGGTTCACATACTTAGTGGCAGGTCTGGCCACCTGGTGGCAGGACGTTGGAGCCTCAGGGGCACCGGTAATCAAGCTAGCTCACATGAGCAGCCTATTTGGGCATATCAAAACAAAACAAGAAGCTAGGGCACAGTAAGCAAACATATGTAAATATAGTACCTTACTGAGGGCTCGGAGACAACAGTCAATATCAAATCACATAAAGAGGCAGACTGTGATGGCTTCAGCAAGCTCCCAAAATAAAGAATCAAGATATTTTCCGGAGGAAGAGAATTTCTTGCAATTTCCAGAGGCAGAATACAAAAGATTAATATACAGAACTGTTCAAGAGATCAGGAAGGAAGTTAGGCAAAGCACAGACCAAGCAATAGAGGAACTTAAAAAGATTAGAGAAGAGCATAATGACAAATTTAACAAGCTACAAGAATCCATAGACAGCAAACAGAAATCCAGAAGATTAACAATAAAATTTCAGAATTAGACAACTCAGTCAAAAGTCATAGGAGCAGACTTGAGGCAATGGAAGTCAGAATTAGTGAGACTGAAGATAAAGCACTTGACACTGACTTACATGAGGAAAAATCAGATATAAGGAATAAAAAAATGAAGAAACCCTAAGAATTATGTGGAACTCTATCAAGAGGAATAACTTACGAGTGATTGGAGTACCAGAACGGGGTGGGGGTGGGGGTGGATAACAGAAAATACAGAGAATTGTTGAAGATTTGTTGGCAGAAAACTTCCCTGATATTGTGAAAGATGACAAGGTATCCATCCAAGATGCTGATTGAACCCCACATAAGGAAGATCCAAAAGAAAGTCACCAAGACATATTATAATCAAACTTGCCAAAATCAAAGATAAAGAGAATTCTAAGAGTGACTAGGGATAAACGAAAAGTCATGTACAAAGGAGAGTCAATAAGACTAAGCTTGGACTACTCAGCAGAAACCATGCAGGCAAGAAGGCAATGTGATGACATATGTAAAGCCTCGAAGAAAAACAATTGACAGCCAAGAGTTATATATCCAGCAAAACTGTCTCTCTAATATGATGGCGAAATTAAGGTATTTTCACATAAACAGAAATTCAGGGAATTTGCAAAAACCAAACCAAAATTACAAAAAATACTAAAGGGAGTCCTCCAGTTAGAAAGTCAATAACATCAGAAAACAACCCAAGACTAGAACAAAGGACCGAGCAACCAGGTATCAACCCAGATAGGGAAGTCACAAAAATAAATCAAAGCTAAAACACTAAAAATAGGGAAACAGAGATGTCAATATGTAAAAGATGACAACATTAAAACAAAAAAGAGGAACGTAAAAAATCTAGCCACAGATTTTTCATATGGAGAGGAAGTCAAGGCAATATAAAGAAGTAAAAGACTGGTTTAAACTTAGAAAAATAGGGGTAAATATTAAGGTAACCACAAAGGAAACTAACAATCCTACACATCAAAATAGAAACAAGAAAAATATAAAGACTTAGCAAATACAAAAGCAACAACAATGAAAAAGATGAAAAGAAAATGCATAAAGAAAAACAACTCAGCACAGAAAATTAAGTGGAACAAAGAAACTCAGCAACACACAAAAAAAGACATCAAAATGACAGCACTAAACTCATACCTATCAATAATTACACTGAATATAAATGGACTAAATGCGCCAATAAAGAGAGAGTGGCAGAATGGGTAAAAATACACGATCCGTCTATATGCCGCCTACAAGAGACACACCTTAGACTTAAAGACACAAACTAAGACTCAAAGGATGGAAAAAAATATATCAAACAAACAACACTCAAAAAAGCAGGAGTGGCAATATTAATCTCTGACAAAATAGACTTTAAAGTAAAATCCACCACAAAGGATAAGGAAGGACACTATATAATGATTAAAGGGTCAATAAACCAGGAGGACATAACTATAATAAATATTTATGTGCCCAATGACGGCACCAAAATACATAAAACAAACTCTTAACAGCATTGAAAAGAGACATAGACAGCTTCACAATAGTAGTAGGAGACTTCAGCACACCACTTTTGGTGAAGGACAGAACTCCAGAAAGAAGCTCAGTAAAGACACGGAAGATCTAAATGCTACAATCAACCAACTTGATCTCATGGACATACACCAAACACTCCACCCAACAGCAGCCAAGTATACTTTCTTTTCCAGCGCACATGGAACATTCTCCAGAATAAGCCACATATTAGGGCATAAAGCAAGCCTTAACAGAATCCAAAGCATCTAAATAATAGAAAGTATCATTTTTGACCATAAAGCCATAAAAGTAGAAATCAATAACAGAAAAAGCAAGGAAAAAAAAAATCAAACACATGGGAACTGAACAACACCTTGCTTAAAAACTACTGGGTTATAGAAGAAATTAAGGATGGAATAAAGAAATTCATAGAATCAAGAATGAAAACACATCCTACCAGAACCTTTGGGACGCAGCAAAAGCAGTGCTCAGAGGTCAGTTTATAGTAATAAATGCACACATCCAAAAAGAAGAAAGGGCCAAAATCAAAACTTTAACCCTACAACTGGAACAAGTAGAGAGTAGCGAAAGAAGCCCTCGGGTGCCAGAAGAAAGGAAATAATAAGAATTAGAGCAGGATTAAACAAAATAGAGAATAGAAAAACAATTGAAAGAGTTAAAAAGACCAAAAGCTAGTTCTTTGAAAAGATCACAAAATTGATAAACCATTGGCCAAACTGACAAAAGAAAAACAGGAGAGGAAGCAAATAACCCATTTAAGAAATGAGATGGGTGATGTCACAACAGACCCAACTGAAATTAAAAGAATCATAACAGAATACTATGAAAAATTGTACTCTTAACAAGTTTGAAAACCTAGAGGAAATGGACAAATTTCTAGAAACTCATGACCTACCTAAACTAACACAAACAGAGGTAGAACAACCAAATAAACCCATAACAAAAAGAAAGAGATTGAAACGGTAATTTAAAAACTCCCAACAAAAAAAAGCCTTGGCCTGGACAGTTTCACTGGAGAATTCTACCAAACTTTCAGAGAAGAGTTAACACCACTGCTACTAAAGGTATTTCAGAGCATAGAAAAGGATGGAATACTCGCAGACTCATTCTGTGAAGCCAGTATAACCTTGATACCAAAATCAGATAAAGACACCACCAAAAAAGAAAATTACAGACCAACATCCCTCATGAACATTGATGCAAAAATCCTCAACAAAATTCTAGCCAATAGAATTCAGCAACATATCCAAAAAATAATTCACCATAATCAAGTGGGATTTATACCAGGTGTGCAGGGATGGTTCAGCATTAGAAAAAAATCAATGTAATCTATCAGATTAATAAAACAAAAGACAAGAACCACATGATCTTATCAATTGATGCAGAAAAGGCATTTGACAAAGTCCAACACCCATTCATGATAAAAACTCTCAACAAAATAGGAATAGAAGGGAAATTCCTCAACATAATT